GATTACCAGCATAAATTATTAGTAGCTTTTGATATATTAACCACACTTTTAGATCGAATTGAATCTTATATTTACCTATTCAAAAGGTTAGTGGCAAATAAATATGTTTATATATAAAATTCAAGAGTTAAGACTTATTCCCTCAAATAATAATGCACCACTATCTATGTTAATGATACTAATCTACAGTCATTAATTATAATTAGTAGTTGACTAACTAGAGAAAAGGTAGAGTTCCTGTTAATGGTGGTTATTTAGAATTTCTCATTGGTCTTTACCTGGCTCGTCTCACCTACCTTTTTCTCTATTAATTTAGCCCATTTAATTAGAGTTACACTTATATTTTATCCCACTTTGATGATTAATATAAATTAGATAATTATCCTATTGGCATGTGAATCAAGTTCAAATTGCATTCATTTAGAGCTCCCTCGTGTTGCATTGTTTAATATGAAAATAATCGATAATGTAAGTTTTATATAGCAATTTGGAGCGATGTTTGCCACCATTTCAATTTTCACATGTACTCTCTCTTGTATTTAACTAACTTTTTTTTTTTTTTTTTTTTTTTTTGAATTTCAATTTCTCAAAAGTCTAAACCTGGCAAAAGTTGTTGATTACAAATATGCTGACTCCAAGTATAGCATATTAAATTTTAACAAACAAATCATTCAACCACTACTGATCAATCCTCGTGAAAGAAGTAAAGATAAAAAAATTTGTTAAAATAAATAAATATGGAAGATAAATAAAGTAATTATTGTTGGGATACTGAATGTGAAAGATAAATTAGTAGAAAATTTCTCCAACGGTTAGTGTCTAATCAAAGTCTCTCTCACACCTTCTTATTTATTTTACTATGTAAGCAGTGGACGAGAAAGTGAATGAAAAGGAATAAATACCTACAGCAACAATTGTGAATATTTTGCGCAAAAGAATATGTTTAAAATCAGGTTAATTAAGATATTTCCTCTCTTATCTACCTGTACTCTATTTGTTTATTACTTGAGAGGGAAGATATATCGTTAAGAAAAACAGAGCTTTCAAATACTAGTTTGGCCGAATCTAGTAATTTTTATTCAAATAGTATATTTGTGTTAAGAAATTTATCAAATATGTACAAATATTAAATTTAGAACCCACTTAGTAGCTCTTAATCGTTGTTCTAAAATTCAAAATTCATAAAGTTGAAATTCTGGCTCCGCCTTTGAGTTTCAAGTTATAGGAAGTTATCGATATCCATATTAGTACAGAGTAGAGAGCTTACTTATGGAAAGTTCAGCTTCGATGATCGATGGAGAGGCACAATTGACGAGCTCTTCCGCTGGACATGGAAAACGAGGAGGCTGGATCACTTTCCCTTTTACAATAGGTAATCTTTCTCAAATCTTACAACATTATGTATATACGTTACTTTATATATTGAGTTCAACTGAACATATTGCTATTGAATTATTTGATCGTCTCATCTAAAAGCTTAAGTTTTTATGTTATCAACAATTGCAGCAACAACGGCGGGGTTGAACATAGCAGCAGCAGGGTGGATGAGCAACTTGACAGTTGACAGTGTACCTTATAAAGGAATTTGGAATGAATAGTATTGATGCTGCTCAAGTTTCAAATGTTATGAATGGCTCTGTCAATTTTGCTCCTGTCAGGGGTTTCCCACCTTCAAGAGTCGTGATGACGCCTACTAGTGAAAGCTAGGCAAGCCAACCATTTGAATTATTTACTTTTTTCCCATTTTTAATCCTTTAACAATTAAGAACCACATTATATAAACAACGGAAGTTTTTAAAAACGGAAGATTGAAACGTAATATATTAATAAAGATGTCAATACCAATTCATACATAAACTACTCAAGACTGGTGTCACAATTTCACAGACTATCTAAGAATACTACAAATAAAGGACCGAAAGATTTATTACAATATTGTCTCTGAAAAATATAAAAGAAACAGAAAAAAGGGATAGGAGGAGACGCCAAGGCCTGCGGACGCCAGGCCTATGTCTGTTTTATGGCTCGTGCCACAACTAGTTATCATTGGAATTGGAGAGGCGTTTCATTTTCCAGGACAAGTATCATTGTACTACCAAGAATTTCCGACGTCCTTAAAAGAGTGTTTCAACAGCCATGACATGGTTAGTCACTGCCATTTCGTTTTACGTCAGCACTGCTTTGATTGATCTTGTTCGTAGGGCGACTAGTTGGTTGCCTAATGACATAAACCAGGGGAGAGAGGATAATTTTTATTGGGTGTTTCCTGCGACTGGAGTGTTGAATTTTGGTTATTATTTACTATGTCTTTGGTTCTACAAGAAACAACGCGGCAAGAAGGTCGTTGATAGTGGTGCATCTAATGCTTCGGATAATTGATTTTAGCTAGCATGGCTCAATAATGCAGCATCGGATCCAAAATAAATTGTGTAATTCTACGTATATATACTTGTTTTTTGTACATATATAGTGTTATGACTCTGAGTCACTAGGTTTCCGCCGTAACAATGAACCCATCATTGGATCCGCCACGGCAAGTATGTACCTTGGTTCTGCGTTATTTGTTTTTCTGTTTTTTTTTTTTTTTTTTCTGGGAACTTCTTGAGATTGGGTAATTATATATGGTATATATTTCGTTGTATCACGCAATAAATAGGCTTTTCCTTACAAAGGGATTTCGACCAGGGATCAGATTTAGAATCTTTCTCTATAATAAAAGAAAAAAGGAAAAGAATCTTCTCTACTTAACAAGTCTCTTTACAGCACCATGTATGCATCTTGTACAGACAATTAAATTCTATCACCTTGACCTGAATTGGCAACCTCACATAAGTTCTAAATCCTCTTGACCATTAGCTATTCTTTTGGGCAGTAACAAGAATATTCAAAATATAATATATAGAGGCACAAAATAAATTGTCTTATATGTACAGTGTAATTTTCCAGCTTTCATCCCTAAATCCGACACTAATCCTCATGAGCTAGGTTTTTAGGTTCAGTTAGATTCAATGTCCATTTCTTAACATGGGAACTTCTCCTTTAACGGTCCTATAAGTATGACACGAATCTGAATTAATCAGGTTTCGGATGGTAAGAGGTTACTCTACTTGCAAGTATCTCTATGATCTCTTTGAAATTTGATAAGGAAATTTTACCTTGTATAATAAATGTATATATCCTATTTATTATAAACTAAAATCATTTTATACTATTTTCTATAGCTACCTTTTATATTTTTATAGCAAAATAAGTATTTATGGTATATACTACCATTGAAGCATGAAATACGTTATTTATGGTTTTCCTCTCTCTTGGACAGTTGGATATACCTATTTTTAAGGTGATTGTCGTTACTGTATTCATGAATACATGGCGCGAATACATGTGAATACATGCACGTACCGTTGGACTGCCCTGGTTTTTAGGTGCTTTTTACTATTGTATTCATGAATACATGGCGCGAATACATGTGAATACATGCACGTACCGTTGGACTGCCCTGGTTTTTAGGTGCTTTTTACTATTGTATTCATGAATACATAGTGCGAATACATGTGAATACATGCGTGTACAACTGAACTGGCCTAATTTTAAGCGTTTTTTACTGTTGTATTCATGATGTGGTTTCTGAAAATTCCTAATTTGATAATGCACTAAAAAAGTATTTAATCATTTGACAGCTAGTTTTGAGAATATTTCAAATTCTCAAAACTAAGTGCTTGTTGCGTTGATGCTTCCACTATCAAAGATCAATGCTTTGGGCCATTGATGCTGTAATGCAAAATGCAAAATAATTATAGGGTTAATTTGATGTGGCTACCACTATCAAATACTTCTGGAGACACTATTTACTGTTAAATTATGTTATTTGACTTCATGTAAAGAAACAAAACAGATATCATTGCATATTCGAGTATTGCCTGCTCATATATCCCCTACTTTTTGAATTTCTATTTTATCTTTTTTTAGACAAATATAATGAAAATCTTTCAGAAATTACTATGTTTTAGTGGTTATTAGCTAGTTGTAGCTACCATTTACTATATTACTTCCTATAGCTATGTTTTCAGGTTTTTTAGAGTGTATTCGATGTATTTAATCTACCGTATTCATGAATACAGTAGCATTTCTAGACGTGAAACAGGGGATTACAACTAGACATATTTTTGTATTCGACTGTATTCACGGCGTGAAACAGGGGATTACAACTAGACATATTTTTGTATTCGACTGTATTCACGGCGTGAAACAGGGGATTACAACTAGACAGATTTTTGTATTCGACTGTATTCACGACGTGAAACAGGGGATTACAGCTAGACAGATTATTGTATTCGACTATATTCGACTGTATTCACGATATGTATTTGTGAATACAGTAACGTAAATAGTGCAATTCATGGTCTATTCAGATGTNATATATATATATATATATATATATTATATTATATTAATTAAAAATATATATGAATACATTCATGGAATACAATGAGATAATGAATACAATGAAATACATGGTATACAACGAGATACATTGAAATACAATGAAAAAAAAGACAATGAAATACATGGAAATACAACGAGATATATTGAAATATATTAACAGAAAATTCAAGTTGCTCAGCCCCAAACTCTGTCATCTTTGTTCAAGAATAACCCTAATGTCGTCTCGTCGAGAGGGCTGCGATTCTGACTCGAAACGCCACTGTTCCTGTTACCATAATACCCGCACGTGCGCTTCAAAAAACCTATTCTTTACAATTGAATTTGAATAGTGCTTGTAGATTGGGGACGGAAAACCCCAGATTGGGCAGAACCAGAGGCGGATCCAGGATTTAAGCATAACGGGGGCACCATTGTCTTTAGTATGCCAATCACCAGCGATAAAGTTCGGGTGTAACTCTTTGAAATGACTATGATAATTTATCATCAAAATAAAAACATCAATATTATCAAATACCATTAACTTGATACTAATATAACAAAAGTACATTGTCCACTCATAGTTGAACTCGACGCGCTTTCATATTTTGAAAATGGTAAACAATAGCATCATTGTTTATATTTACAAATACTTCCTTCTCAAAGTAACAAACTAAACAATCATTTAAAAATGCATCACTAATACTACTACGCAATTCATCTTTGATGTACTTCATGGATGAGAATGCTCTTTCCACCATTGCAGTTGCGACAGGTAAAATTAAAGTCAACTTCACAAGCAAATAAACAAGTGAATAAGTCTCCACAAGATTTGCCTCAACAAATGCTTTTGCCAAATCACCAATTCCTTTCAAATCAGAGAACCCAGGGTCACTATGTTGCATGTGCCATATGAAAGTGTCAAGTTGGTGACTAAGATCTCGAAACTTCAATTCACCAAACTCATCGGGATAATGCTTGACCAATGTTATTATTCTCTCCTTCTCAAAATTAGCAAATGAGTTAGCCGGATTCAAGCTAGCCATACCAGGAAGCAGGTTACTACTCACAACATCAAAACGACTAATAAGCTCCAGAAGTTGCAAATCAATCACGACATAAAAAAGCTCAACACGTAAGTGATGTGAATAAGTAACACTAGAAGTCCTACGCTTCGACTTTCCAGGAATATAAAATTCTTCCATCTTGGGCACCAAAATATCATGTTTTGCACAAAATAAATATACTTCATCCATCTATGGTTCCCATCCTTTATCTCTTATTCTTGCAACCTTTCCTTTGTGATATCAAGAAATAACATGGCATTGACAATATCTTGATCTTTCTTCTGTAAAGTTTTGCTCAACTCGTTTGACATTAGCAACACTTTCAACATTAAGTGAAGCAAGAAAACAAATTCAAATGCTTTAATTTTACTCGAAAAAGCTCCTGCTTGCAACCTATCATTAACATCACCTTCACATTCAATCACCCCAAGCACGTGAACAATAGAAGAAAATAAAATAACAAAGTTATCCAATGTTTTACAATGTGATCCCCAACGAGTGTCACCTGGCCTTTGAAGCCCTCGCTCTTGATTTAATCCTTTTCCACTTTGAATTTCACCACTCTCTAACAATTGCTCCAACAATTTTGTTTGATGATCCCGAAGTTGATCTCTACGCTTAAAAGAAAATCCAATTACATTCAACACGTTAGTAATAATAGCAAAGAAAGTCTCTACCTCCTTGTGTTTTTTAGCAACAACTACAAACGTCAACTGTAATTGATATGCAGAACAATGAACGGAATATGTTGATGGATTTTCTTGCAAAATTAAAGATTTAAGACCATTCATCTTTCCCTGCATATTACTAGCCCCATCATAGCTTTGTCCACGTATTTTGGATGGATTTATTGAGTGTTTCATTAGCAAAGAAAGTACTGCTTCTTTCAGTGATTTTGCAGATGTATCACTAACACGAACAAGACTAATAATGGCTCGTTCACTTGGCCTTTTTTGTCAACATACCACAAATCAAGGGCCATTTGTTCATGGTGTGAAATATACTGAGACTCATCAACTAAATCCCAAAATAATCTTCCCCAAGTCATCAATTATAACTTTCACGGTCTCTTGTGCACAAGCACTCACAATATCCTTTTGAATTTTTGGCGAAGTCATCATATCATTTTTTGGAGCATGTTTTGATATAATTCTATCTACATTTGGAAGCCTATTTCCAAGCCATTCCAAAAGCCCTAGAAAAAGGCCTTTATTTTTCGAAGATTCACTTTCATCGTGACCACGAAAAGACAATCCAAAGTCCAAGAGAAACCTTGCAACATCAATTGAGGCATTTAAACGAATTCGATATTCAGTTTTTTGTTGATCTTATTGCTTTTCAAAAGCATCTTGAATTGATTGAGATTGATTTAACAAGTCTGGCATATTGTTGAAACACTTTTGGTGGAGACTATTTACTTCACCAACATGTAGACCAAGTCTTTCGGTTCCTTTATTCCAAGCCTTAAAGCCGGTTTTTGTGAAAGAGTCACCTGTGCTTCCATGAACGTAATCATTTTTGAATAAATAGCAACATAAATAAAATGCGGCATCTTTCTTCACGCTATACTCTAACCATCTAGAATGCGAACCTTTAAACCAATCCTGACTAAATTGGCGTATTTTCTTCCTAAATAAAGTTTTAGAAAATTTGTGATCAACTGGTTGGCAAGGCCCTCTTTGGATGTAGTGTCTCCTCACTTCATCCCGTATTCTAGAGCTATATCTATCAATGGGTATTCTCTCTACAGGGTCAGTATTAAGTGATTTCACATCAATCTCCTCTAAAAGATGGGAGGAATTGTCTCTAAAACTAGAACTTGGTTGGGAAGAATTAAACCTCGTCAAAAATATGTCCATCTCAATTCACATCAACAGAACTTCCAACAAAGCAACAATGCCAAGCAAAATAACATTTTTAATATGATTAATCACACTCCTTATATTAATACTAAAATAGAATTAACATATAATAGAGGAATCATACCCCTTCCATCAAGAACAAAGCAAAAATTATTTCTAATAGGGGAATCACAGCCCTTCCATCAAGATTAAAGCAAAGAAAATATTTCTAATAGGGGAATCACACCTATTCTATCACAAACAAAAGCAAAAATAATATTTCTAATAGGGCAATCATACCCCTTTATTAAAGATAGAAGGATCACTTACCAATTTCTGAAAGGTGTCCTTGAAATCAAAATACAACTTGGTTTCAAATCGTCCACTTCACTGAAACAATATTTCAAATAGCATTAGCACAAATCTTCAAATACCTATAAAATTAATTTATTAAGATAAAAGAATTAGCACAATGTGCTCAAGAAAGCAATGACATGTGAATAAGTTGCGTCCTTTTTCTACATTTCAGTAATTACATTTGGGTGAATTAGGACTCCTAATAATACCTAGATATCCAAGTATCCAACAGTGGTGGTTAGTGCAACCAGTTCACATTTAGGTGCATATAAACTTTTGCAGTGTTTGAAGTGAATTGACTTTTAAAAAACTCTAGACCATTTACTTTTTTGGTGAATAAGGATTTCAAATCCATAGCTAGATATCTAAGACTCATGTTTAGTACATCTCAAATTCTCGCTTAGGTGTTTCTGGATGAATCAAAATTAATGTGTGACTATTTTAACTGTAATCCACAAATTTCATATCCGTATATCATGGATTTTTGCAGGAATATTAAACTTAGGATTTTGAATTTTTCAAAATTCAACCTTAACTTGCTCGCACGTTGCGACATGACTGTAGCCTTTCACTTTGGCCAATAAGATGAAGGCATTGATTCATTACTTTTAGGGTTTGAATTACAGTTGATAGATGACTGGACGTTGTCGTAGGTTCATTATTCGTTTCAACTGCTAATCTAGGTCAAAATCACAAAAATTAAAAAAGCAATATTTGTAAAAAGAAGAAAAACTTACTCAAATAATCAAAGATTTGAAGAAAAGTCTCCCTCACCTAATAAGGGATTCGAATTCAAAGGGATGCAAAGAAATGAAGAAGTGAAGGACGGAACGGAAAGGAAAGTTGAAGTTGAAGGGAGGCACCCAGACAAAGAGGGTTTGTTTTCGAGTTTAGACTTTCAGATGGATACAAAGTAAATAAGTAATTAAATAATCATTCAATTTTAAAAAGTAAAATAAAATACCATGGACTGTAAGACCCCAGATTCGAACCTACGTCGTCAAGCAAAAGAAGGCAGCTACTCCCACAAACCAACTCTTATGTCCAGTCTTTGTGACTGAGGGGGCCACATAAAATATTTAGAGGGATCCTCCTTGTAGTAACATATATATATATATATATAGAGAGAGAGTTAGAGAGAGAGAGAGAGAGAAAGAGAATATATATACAATATTTTTACCGAGACCAATGGGTTCCAGTGAACCCCCACCCCCCAGCGTAGGTACGCCCCTGGGCAGAACTCTAGAACGACGAAGAGAAGAGGACACAACATAGCACATTGAGTTAGTTCACCTTAATAGGCTGTAATAAATCATAAATTACAAATTAATCATCGTACCTGTGCCATTTTCAACATCCACATGAGTCTGTTTAGGGTTGTAAGGGTATTTTGGTGGCCTTTTCTGGTTCTTGGCCATATCAGATATTGAAGCTTTTTGATTTTTGTCCATAGTTGTTGACTTCACTTCTCTCTCCATTCCATTCTTGCTGAAAAATTTCACATTGAGAGTCAAAGCTGCCCGTTTCTATCTGTATTTGGGAGAATTATGGTTGTATTCATGGAGAAAGACTGGAGTTGAGAGAGAGAGTGGAGAAATATCTGAAAGAATGAGAGAGAAAAATAATACAAGGCGTATTTTATAGCTTAAGAGTAGGAGATGACCATAAATAAATATTTGGCTATAAAAATCAAAAGATAGCTATGAAATATAATTTTGTAAAAAGGTACTTATTTAAAATAAATAAGGTATGAACCTTTGCTACAGGAAGTAACTATTCCTTAAAATTATTTGAGTGCTTCTTTTAGACAGATCAGCACTACCGCACCACCGGTAAGCCCAATCCCAAACAAAAGCCCAAAGGAAAGCCCACTCAAGCACAAGCCAGTTGCAAGTTTTAAATGGGTAAAGTTCAAAAAGTCATTTTTCAGACTTGTAACTGAAAAATAGTCACAAATTTAAAAAGCATTTTCAAATTCATGACATTGAGCTTAAAAAAAGTGCAACTCCAGATGTCATATATGCAATTTGCCACTGCTTGAAACTATATGAAGCAAACATCAATTTGAGATAGAGAGTAAAGGGTTTTGAACCCCACAGGCCCAAACTCAAACCAACGTATAAGTCAAATTGTGACAATAAGCCGATACTGCTTACACTAAATCTTGTTTGCACCATTGAACATTCATAGTACTTGTTTATAGTTGCAGGGCATATAGCTTCTGCTATTAACATCAGTCATTGATGGATTAAGACCTCCAGCATGTATTGATGGATCTAATTTCTGCAAAAATCCATCCACAACCACAACTCAATATGCAATCTTATATGTAGCTCTAACCTCGACATTTCTAGGGGTTGCGGATTACACGTTTTACTATTGGACCTATGGGAACTTATCAATTCAATAGGCCAAAACATCAAGGGATTTTCTTCAGTTGGTGCATATTCACTTTTGCACTTCTGTTGTTATTGTTGGTATTATTTTATATTTTATAATGCAAAGTCAAAGATTTCTTTGTAGTCCTTTTTCTTTCTTTACTTCTTTGTCTTTTGTGAATGACAAAGTATCTCTCATTTGTTATGGAAAGTCTTTTTCTTCACTTTATAATGAATTACTCTTTGTTGGGCTTGTAAAGAGCTAGTAAAAGGGAGTGGTCTCGCGCACATGAGAAGTTGGTCCTGAAGGCAAAACGGGTCGATTTGCCCCCATCCTCCCTCTGCGCGCGAGATATACGTGGGGCCTAATCCAAATCTGGTTTTGCTAAAATTATTTCTTCAAATTTTTAGCTTACCAGAAAAATGTCCAAATGCATGCTTACTAGAATATGTCCAAATCCTTTCTCTTTGAATAAAATTTGTAACGTCCAATTTATTATTTTGTAACCGTCATGATTTAATTATTGTAACAACCATGATTTAATTCTTGTAACAACTGTAATTAATTGGGTAATGACTCCATTTTTAATTTCTGCAATAGCTAAAGATTAATTTCTTTATCTGTAACTGTTCAATAGCTTTGCCTACAAAAGGCGGTCTTCTTTGTGAATAATCTGACATAGAAAAAACACCTACATCCTCTTTTCTACTTCATCCGAATTCTGGGCAATAGTTTTGTGCAAATTCCAAACATCCAGCTACAAATGCACGTGTTTAGAGGTACTGTGGAACCTTGGGAAGCGACCGATATTAACGATTTGCATCTAGTTCGACCGAAATCGCGTTCTAGGCAGTGGCTTGCCACAACACAATATTTATCGATAAGTTGTTCTTGTTTCCGTTTTTTCTTGTCAATATTATCTACTCAGTTTTCTTTCAAGTTGTCACACCCCGAACCTAGGCCTGGACATAACACGACACTCGGTGTCTGACTACATGTGACCGAGCGAACCGACTGGCTAGCTGAATCAACATGTGATATCATAACATACTAAATGCGGAAGATAAACTAACACATACTGATATACTGAAAGTCTGGATGATATAAATCAAAGTGCGAAAATGCTAATACAATTCTGAAACATATTTGCAACCAACATGGCTTAACATGAAAAGTCTGAGACTCTCTCTAACTGTTACTCTAGTCTATGAAGCCTCTATTGAAGTACTGAAAATACTGACTATCTGTAAATACTGAAAGGCTTTAAAGTAATGATAATGACCCAAAAGAACTGGGATCACCAAATAGCTGGTACAAGAATCCTAGAGCGCGCCGTCGACCTGTATATCATTACCTGCATTGTGAGATGCAGGCTCTGGGCAAAAAGGGACGTCAGTACATTTGAATTGTACTGGTATGTAAGGAAACTGAAAGAAAGAATTATAAATGCTGAAACTGAAACTAAGCTGATAACTGAGAATTGATAATTGATAACTGAAATGATAACTATTGAAACTGAAACTGAAATGATAATTGATAACTGATAACTAATAACTGAAATGATAACTAATAAATGATAACTGGCAACTGAACTGATAACTAATAACTAAATTGATAACTCTTAACTGATATGATAACTGATAACTGAACGGTAACTAATAATTGAACTGAAAGGAAGTAAAGATATGAATACTCCCACTTCTGAATGATGAACAACCTGTTTATCTAAATATTAAACTGCGGCCTCAGGCCCAATATATATATGTGCATAAACTGCGGTCTCGGGCCCAAGTATACTTATTCATAACTGCGACCTCAGGTCCAAAATGCATAAAGCATAAACTGCGGCCTCAGGCCCAAAAATGCATAAAGCATAAACTGCGGCCTCAGGCCCAAATACAAGTGTTCAACATTCAGGGATTTAAAATCAGGAACTGAGACTCATACTGCAATATATGATAGTGAAATACTGAATCACATTAAGTTACATAATACTGGAATACTGGATCACACTGAGTTACATAATACTGGAATACTAATAGGACTAGACTGAGACATGTATTCTTGAACTGATTATGAACACTGAAACTTCAACTGTTTATGGCATACTGAGTAATCTATACTAAGACTCGGGGGCATCAAACCCAAGTCTATATTGAATACGCACTGAGCTCACAACGTTCAGAATGAAAGTCATGAACGATTTATGAGGCTAGAGAATAGAAGCTCTACAACTATTCAAGGAACTAGGCTTAACTATATTTTTGAGGCAATTGATACGTCGTAAAAGAGACGTAGTATAGGGAGAATCATTAATATTCCCAAACATAGAGAGTTAGCCTCACATACCTTAACTTCCTGCTCTTGAGCATAATACAACATTCGCCAACCCCTTCAACTTCAATCTATATCAATACAAGTCAAAGGGATTCCGTATTAGCAATAATACTCATGTTTTGGTCACTTAGGCATTTTCTCAAACACTTGGTGGCATAAAGCTTCATAGTCCTTATTAATGGTGTCTCTACACCCAATAACCCATTCTCTTGCTCCTAGATAAATTCTAAAGTCTCAAATAGTTATAATCAACATTATTCTTTATCACCCATAAGGTAAACAACACCCTTAACCAATAATCAACAATCAACAAGCCAAACCTATAATTGTTCATGCTTTTCTATCAAACTCATCAACTCATATCTCATGAACTTGAGTCAATATTCATTAATCCAATGCTAGAATCAATTAGAGGGTGAAGACATTACCTTTTTGACGTTCAATCTTCTTGAATTCAAGTTCTAGAGTTTCTTCTCTCAACAATGATGCCCCAAATGAATATCTAATGATATGAAGGGTTTACCCATGTTAATAAGATATTGGGATATTGAAATTAACTTAGAATCACCATTAGAACTTGCCTTAGGTGGTGGAAGGACCCTTAGGGAGTTAGGTTTTTGAGAGTTCTCCTTTCTAGAGCATGTTTTTATGTTTTGGGGCTATGAGGGACGAAATATAACTTTAAAACACCCCCCCACTAGCACGCCCGCGCATTTGGAGACCTTCCCGCGCTACTGACCGCGCTAAATAGCAGTAACACTGCCTCAAAATTAGCGCGACCGCACTACCGGCGCGCATATCCCATACTGTTCTGTAAAATGTGCATAACCTTTTGCACAGAGATCCGTTCGGGCTATATAATATATCGTTGGAAAGATATTGAAAATTCCTACAACTTTTATGCTTTAAGTTCTCCCAAATTCTTTACTCATTTTCACTAAAACCTGCTGGAATACGAACCTTCTGCAAACTTAGTAGATTTTGTCAAATCTTATGCACTTCACTTTCCATCTTGATTTTGAAATAATTATTTTCACCCATAATCATCCCGATTGGACTTTACATTCCCAAAATATAACCTTACTACTCCTTTAACTCATTCATACCTGAGCCGAATTTACGGGGTGTTACATTATCTCCCCCTTGGGATCATTTGTCCTCGAATGATTGTCCTGATTGTAACTTCTGCTAACTCCAGACCTTAAATAGGTCTGGTGAAAACATGAACTTTCATTAACACTTGTATACTAAACTAAATGAATACCTGATTGGGCCTGAGGCCGCTAATGAAACTTTCAGAAGCACCCAATCATCAACTTGAAACTCTAGGTCTCTATGCCGCTGGCTCGAATAGGACTTTTGGCGGCTCTGAGTTTTCTTCAAACGCTCTTGAATCAACTTAACTTT